GCCTCACACAGAGAGTCTGAGATATATTCCCAGGGTCTCTGATGGACTGGATATGTGTTAATTAGTTGTGTAATACCTCCACGCTCCAGAAGTACTCTATTACAGTGGAGAAAAAAAAAACAAAAAACATTTCTGGCCTCTCAGAGGCTGAACAACACACTTAAATAACATTTAGCATCACTCTTACTGCTTGCTGAAAGCCTCTGTAGTGTCAAAATGGTACGATTAACATGCTTAAATAACATGTTGTTGTATGTACCCTTCACTTTTCTTAAGGTTTCATCACAGTATAAACGTTTCTGATTTTATCAAAATATTGCATTAGATGTAAGGCAGCCACTTTTAATAATCACCATTACGTGGCCAGGCGTCAGCAGGAAATGCATGATGCATCTGTTCTTTGCACTTCTTTTACCTGTTCAGCACCACTTCACCAGCAGAAATAGCCAGCACAGAGGTCCTTCATTAGACATGCAATGTGAAAGCCTACAGGCTATTGCATGACTAAGTATATGGTAGACTCTTATTCTATAGTGCAGTAGATAAATACTGTCGAGTTGGGTCTCTGGAGTTGACTCAGTCTCTATAGCCAAGTAATCTGGACTTGACACAGACTCTATAGTTTAGGAATCTGGACTTGACTCTAGCTCTACAGCTGGGGACTCTGGACTTGATTCAGACACTATAGTTTGGGATTTTGGCAAGGAAAAGAACTGTAAGGCTTGGGATTCTGGAGACAATTCTAACTCTTTTATGGGTTGGGACTCTAAAGTTTACACAGACTCTAGAGCCAAGCAATCTGGACCCAAGAGAGACTATAGTTTGGGACTCGACATGACTTGACTCTGTACTTGACTCTAGCTCTACAGTTGGGGACTCTGGACTTGATTCAAACACTACAAGGTGTCCCAAAAGTCTCTATACATAGGGGAAATTAACATTTTTTAGCAAAATGTCTTCCAAATTTTTTTCATACTTAGTTTATATACATATTTTTTTCAGATAGCCTTTAAGAATGATTTCGACAAAAGAAGAATGTATTGATATCATTCTCATGGCTGGATCGGGAAGCTGTTGCAAGGTTCCGATGGACACGTAATTACATTCATAAAACCAGATGTGTTAACACAAGTTCATGATGAGTGGGAGAGATGACTCTGTGTGTTTACAAAGAAATGGCAATCATGTAGAAGATGTTACATTTTGCTAAAAAGTGTTAATTTCCCCTATATATGGAGGCTTTTAGGACACCAAGTATAGTTTGTGATTCTGGCATGGAAAAGAACTGTAAGGTTATTTTATGGTAGGGACTCTAAAGTTTACTCACACTCTAGAGCCAAGCAATCTGGACTCAAGACAGACTCTATAGTTTGGGACTCAACCTGACTTGACTCTGGACTTGACTCTAGCTGTACAGCTGGGGACTCTGTAGTCGACTCTGAGTCTACAATTTGGGATTCTCAAGTGGAAATGAACTCTACTGGTTAAGACTCTGGAGTTGTGTTGGACTCTTGGGTTTAGAACCCTGTAGTCAACACAGACACTAAAGGTAGAAACTCTTGACTTGACACAGACTCTACAGTTTAGACCTCTGGACTTGACATAGACTAGTTTGGGACTGGAGTGCAAAAGAACTCTGGAGAAGAGTCAGACTCTTTTTACCCTGTAGTCAACTCTTGAGCTGGGAACTCTGAACTTGATTCTAGCACTACAACCTGGGACTGTGGATTTGACTCTATAGTTTGGGACTCTGTTGTAGAAAAGAACTGTATGGCTTGGTACTCTGGAATGAGTCTGATTCTTTATGGTTTTGAGCTCTAATGTCAACTGAAATCCTACAGTTTGGGACTCTGGCCTTGACTTTAGCTCTACGGCTTGGGACTCTGGGGTGGAAATGAACCCTACTGCTAAGGACTCCAGAGTTGAGTCAGACTCTTTTATGGTTTAGGACCCTGTAGTCACCTGGACTTGACATATAATCTACAGTTTGGGACACTGGGGTTAACGCAGATTCATGCTTGGGATTCTGGAATGGAAATGAACTCTACAGTTTGGGATTTTGAAGATGAGACTGGAAACTTTTTTATGGTTTAGGACTCTAAAGTTAACTCAGACTCTAGAGCTAGGAACACTTAACTTGAGACGAACTCTACAGTTTGGGCCTACGGAGATGACACAGACATTATAGTTTGGGAATCTGGAGTGAAAAAGAACTCTATAGCCTGGGATTTGTGGGATGAGTCAGACTATGTTTGGGATTTGTGGCATGAGTCAGACTGTTTTTGGTTTAAGCCCCTCTAGTCAACCCTAGAGCTAGGAATTGAGGAATTGACACATACTCTACAGTTTTTGCCTTTTGAATTGACTCTAGTTCTATGGCTTACAACTCTGGAGTTGTTTTGGACTCTACAACTTGGGACTCTGGAGTTAATTTGGATTCTTTTATGGTTTAGGAGTCTGAAGTCAATTCAGACTAGGAACTTGTCTCAAGCTCTACAGCTTAGAGACTCTGGAATATTTTTGGATTTTACAGCTTGGGACTTTGGAGTTGCTTTAGACTCTATGGCTTGGGACTAGGGAGTCAAGTCTAATTTTAGATCTAGGGACTCTACACTTAACTCAGACTCTGCTGTTTGGGTCTCTAGAGTCAAATTGAGCTCTACAGCTTATCAACTTGATTATAGAGACACTGGACTTAACATGGACCCAACTTGTACTCTAGAGTTAGGCGCTCTGAACTTGGCATGTAAAACAAGGGACAATGGAGTTGATTCAGACTCTATGGTTTTGCACTCAACTCAGATTCTATGGCTTGGGACTCCAGAGTTGACTTGAACTTGACAGCCTTGGAGCCTGCACTTGACTCAGACTCATAGTGTCAACATTGTGAGTATCAATATCTTGTTCATTTGCTGGTTCTTTTATTCATTGCATTGATCATAATTTAACTGATATTAAATTTTAAGAGTAAAGCAGCTCACAGTTTGTAATTCTCAGTATGAGTACGCTAATGTGAAGCCAGTTCACTCATTATTCATTTCCCTCAATAAGGTCCTGCTAGTGGCTGATACAGTAATAAAACAAAAGATTTAGAACCTCCATACAGACTTCCCTATCTGTGCAATTTCATCTCCATGCGCCTCCTGGTCTCACTGCCTAATTCTCCATTAATACGAGAGAGTCAGGAGCCTCCGCTATGAGACACACGGATAATGTGTGTGGTCAAGCTTGGTCACTCTAATCAAAGACTCATTACACAAGCCTCCCACTTCTCTCTCATACACACACATGCACACACACATGCTGGGACTAAGACCAATGCCAGCAACAAATGATCCCAATTTTCCCACCTATCCTTGGGAGAAAGAAGGGCTAAATATGCTTCCACCTTCTGTAAAATTTGATTAAAAAGGTGAGCCCTGTGATTGCCACTGGGAAATCATTAAGCCACTGATTATGGCAAATGAGAAAGAGAGGGACAAGAGACATGCAAGAAAAGCAGTCATGGGGACTTAGCAAATGATTTATTACTAGGCCAAGGTAATTCTAGAAACTGTGGGGGTCCTTTAAAAAATGCATGAGGACTTTCTGACCTAGTTTGTTTTGATCAATGTTCAAAGCCATTATATTTGAATCCTACAATACAAGGCTTACCTTTTCGAAATGGCTCTAAATATGTCCTCTTATAACCTTTTCTTCTAAGACTGTGGGCTCTAAAATAACAAGCTAACCAGCTGGTTATGATAGCTGCTTGCAAAATGTGTGTCAGATTTCTAGAAACTGTTGAGATCAGATGTATTCCTGACTCGTTAGACATTTGTTATTTTGCGAGGGCTAAAAAGCAGCACATTTTCACTCTTCTTTCCTATAATGCTGTATCTGGTCTAAAAAGCCAAGTTAACATACCAATTTTGGCAAAACAGTGAATTTTACCAAGAATTCTTGACTTGTTCCACATTTAATGTCAATTTCTCTATCTGCTTGATGCCAGAAATGAAATAGAGTTATTGTTATATTACTTTCAGGCTCACAGTCATCATCCTTAATTAATTTGTCATTACAGTCACAATCTCTCACTCTCCCACTTCCTCTTTTCCTCTTTTTCTTGCTCCCACTTTTGCTTTTGACTTCCGAACGGGTAAGTTCTCTTCATTTTAACATGATAATGAGATTGGGTCCCTTTAGGGGAGCTTCCTGAAATACTATTTTGACATTTTGAATGCTCAGTGCTTGGGTCCCTAGGCAATTCCCTGCCTTTCCTGTCATGTAGCTATACCTATGCTCATAGATAAGCCGAAAAAGGAAGTAGAGATGAATTTTGTGGGTGAACCAGGACACAGGGAGAAGATGACAAATAATACTGGTGAGAAACAACAAGTGTCACAAAGAGAAAAACAAGGGAGACTGGAATAGGGAAAAATAAGATGAGACGAGGAAAAATATGTAACTCTTTTCAGGTTGCTTTAAAATATGTTGAGTGTGTGTGAGTGTGCGTGGGTGTGTGTTTTATACCTGTGGTTGTAGCCCCACTGAGATGCTAATTGCAAATCAGCTTTTGAGGCAGGTGGCCAGGGAACAGGCAAAGACAGGGAGAGATGAAAAAAGAAATAGAGGAAATAGAGATTGATGCATGAAGAGAGAGCAGAAAGCAGGAAAAGCGGCCAAAACATTAATGGCAAGATATTTCCTGTTTGCTTCCCTTTCCTTTTGTCATATCTCAGCTTGCCTCTGATGTACAGTGTTAAATCCACAAAAAGAGAAATAACATAATAAAACAGGACATGGTTAATAATCGCCTATGCTGCATTTTAACGGGATGTCAGTAGGATGGGATTTAGAAGAAGAAGAAGCAGCAGCAGCAGCAGCAGCCTTTATCAGCACAGTGAAATTCTTTTCTTCGCATATCCCAGCTAGTTAGGAGGTGGGGGTCAGAGATGATACAGTACCTCTGGAGCAGAAAGGGTTAAGGATCTTGCTCAAGGGGCCAACTATGGCAGGTTGGCATTGCTGGGGCTTGAACCCCTGACCTTCTGATTAATAACCCAAGAGCCTTAACCACTGAACCACCACTGCTCCAGGATTTGGGATGTAACTCCTGATTACAGAAACAGTCTTTGTTTGGGAACAAGTTAGCTAGTTAAGCATAGGAAAGGCTATAACTAAATTTTAAAAGCATAACAGTTGAGATAAATATGCGATGGACTGGTGTCCCATCCAGGCCGTATTCCCACATAGTGTTCAGAGTTCCCGAGATTCCGAGAGGCTCCGGATCCACCTCGACCCTGATCAGGATAAAGTGTTTACTGAAGATGAATGAATGAATGAATGATCATCTCCTCACATACAGTAAGTCATTACAGTTCTGTAAGGAGCCTGTACAAAAAAAAAAAAAAAAACACTTTACCGTCACTAAGTAAAAGTCTTTTTTTGAGGTTTGCGAGACAAGAATCATATTAGCAATGACAAATTCCAGCTTGCTAGCTAGCTAACATCGGCCAAGTTAATACCAAACCAAAAAAAAAAAGAATAATAGTCATCATCAAAGGAGACTTTTTAGTCATTCTAATTTCATGTCAGTGACAGAAATGTAAAAATAAAGCATGAATTATAGCAGATAAAAAAAAATTAAGAGCCACTTTTGTTGTGAATCAGAAAATGAAATCGTAAAGCAGGAAAAAGGTCTGAAAATAAAATGACCAAAAACTACACAGAGCATTTGGGAGCGTTTCTGTTTTATATTAATAAATTATAAATCTGATTCACTTGCACTTCTAAACGACTTCACCCTTATAGACAGAAATACATTAGGTTGAAATAATGCATGAGAACGTCGTCATGGTTTTGATTTATTTATGATCAGATACAGTGTTTTCTGTTTTTGATATGCAGCTTATAGACAAGATTCAATTCAATTCAATTCAATTTTATTTATATAGCGCTTTTAACAATATACATTGTCACAAAGCAGCTTTACAGAAATCCGGATATAGATTTAGATTCATCTCTAATGAGCAAGCCAGAGTCAACAGTGACAAGAAAACACTCCCTGAGACGACATGAGGAAGAAACCTTGAGAGGACACCGGATTGTGAGAATATAAATCATTACTGTTCTATAACTGTATACTATAGAGTCATATTAAGGTGTAGCTTTGCTTAGTGTTGTGAGTTGTGATAGTCACTGTATATTAGCCGTTTTTAATATATGTGTTAGCCTCAGTTATTAGCAACTTCATGCTAGGCATGTGTACTTCCCAGTTACCCAGCAACAGCTTTCTATATTCGTCTTCCTTTGTCAAAAGAATGAATTCACAAGTTTCATGTGAAATCACTAGGAGAAGGAAGTTTCCAGTTGGCCTTGGAGTGCTTATTAAAAAAAAAAAAAAAAAAAGCGCAAAAAGACAAAAAGTCACAAATGTTTGGAATAGCACTGCAGAAAAATAGTTGTAGCTGAGTTCCACTGCTTTTTATCTCTGTTTATTGATGAATTGCTAGTAAGATTTAGTTCTACAACAAGCACCAGTCAGTGAGAATAAAAGCCTCTGTACTCTGCGTAATGATGCATTCAGGTAGTATATTTTTTAAAAAATAAATAAATAATTTACAAACAGGATAAAAAAAAGGTGCTTTTGCACAGCGCTGTTACCCACGGCACCCTGCTATAGGTGGAGGCGGTTGGAACCGGTGTAATAAGGTACTGTAGAGAATGACAGAAAGCCAGAAAGCTCTTCAATTAAAAGCCGGATGAGGAGCTGAAGTCGCTGCACAGAGGCTCATTCATCAAACGCAAAACAAGTGTATCGTCCCGGGCCTCTGGGCGAGCTGTAAACACAGTCTCGTCAAGCTCGGGCTCCGGTACCTCATCCCGGATGGTGATGGCTGAAATGCTGAAATGTACTGCTGCACTCAATCATCGCATTCTTTCCGTGGCACGCACGATGAATCACGTTTAGGCCGGACTTAAAGTAAAAAGGAAATGTACTGTAGCTAATGTCAGACGAATTAAATGAGCAGTGTTTAATATGTACAGTGTGTTTCTAGACATTAGGACTACACCCATTTTCTGTTTTAAAGTGACTTTGCATGAGCGAGAGACTGCGCTCACTTTTTAATCAGTGAGTTATAGCTGCACTGGTGGCTCAGGAACACTTTCTATGAAGGCCATGTCTATAATCATCTATAACACATTCATAACATGAACTCTGAGTCAAATGAGACTTTTTTTTTTAAAATAAATAATACAATTTAGAATAGTACATTTTGCACAATTGTATCGAGTCTGAATTACAGTGTACTGTATGTATTAATAGAGATAAAACACTGAATAATAAACAGTTGACTTACTGCAGTTATTAACAGGCATAGAGCCATGAATAACAGACTATTCAAACTGAAAAAAAGGTTCTTTAGTCTTATGAACGCTACCTATAATACATCATGTTAACAATTCTTTCTGCATAGCACACATTGCTACAAAGTGTAATGCATTTTCATAAATATAATAATGTTTATAATGCCTTATGAATGCATTATGAATTGTTATTTACTATTCAAGCTGAAATCGAGTTTCTTTGCTGTTAGTAATGTAATGCTTTAAACACTGCTTATAAGGCATTATGTAAACCATTCATAAAGCATAATAAAGATAGCTATAAAGTGTAATACATTAATAATTATAATATTTATAATGCCTTAGGAATGCATTATGAATTGTTAACATAGTACACTACTTATAATGAAAGGTTTTTTTCATAATGCATAATAAATATTCCTATAAGGCATAATTCATTTTTATAAATAGTTATAACAGCATGTATTATAACAATGTGCATTATGACATGTTAAACACATTAATAGTTCATAAGCAGCACTTATTGAGAATGTCAGCATGAACACCTGCATTATGACACTGTGACATGGTGACGGTTTAAACAGTGAAGGTTATGTATATTATCTGTAGCTCTTTTAGAGATGTTTATGAATGCTTATGATATGCTTATGATTATACTTATGACACTGTAATGGCACCATTGTGAGTTCTGTATATTTTCTATAAAATAGAGTAAGTCTAGTTTTAATATTTATGTCACATGATCATCATGGTAACACTCTGATATACCGGAAATTCACGTAGCTGCAAAGTCAATTGTCATGTCTTGTTATGTTTAACATACGTCAGTCTGGGGAATGCTATAACACTACCTTATGTCAACAAAAACAATTGACATTACTTCCCTTGGGTGTTATGCCATCTTGACATCAAATCTGACAAAAACAGGCTTGATGATAGCTGATGGGTTTTGGAATAAGCCTTTATAAAGGTTTTTGGGTGTTTATACATTTGCCATGTAGGCCTATGAACACTATCCTTCAGTGTTACAGCAGCATCTAAAACAAATGCAGCAAGGAAACAACTCATTAATCATGTGGCTCTGAACCATAGGAAGTACTCACAGGGAAAAGATTTTGCTACCCTGTGCATTGATTTCCTGTTTTTGTTACTTCACATTGCAGTGTGTGTTCTGTCTCGAGGTTCAGTATAAAGATGTGGATTATATTTAGTCTTCCAGAATTCAACCTGCTCTGAACGGCCAGCAGCCAGCTGACCCTATTTTCGACTTTAAGTCTGGGTGTAGACTGAATCCTAAACCGTATTTACTGTAGTTATATTTTAACCATTGATAAATGAACAGCTTTTTTTGCACACACTTCCAGGAGGCCAAGTTTTTCCTTTTATTCCCCAAACAGCACCAATTAGTGTCACAGTTCCAAAAAGCATCTAAAGGCTATTAAATACTGTAAATTACATTACATATGTGGAGTTAAGTGTAGTGGAGTAAATTGTAGTGGAGTGAAGTGTAGTAGAGTAAGGTGAAGTAAAGTGTAGTGGAGAAAAGTGAGGTTGAGAAAAGTGCAGTGGAGTAAAGTTAAGTGAAGTGGAGTAAAGTTACATGTAGTGGAGTAAGGTGAAATAAAGTTTAGTGGACTGAAGTGGAGTAAAGTGTAGTGGAGTGTGGTCGAGTATAGTGTAGTTGAGTAAAGTGAAGTTGAGAAAAGTGTAGTGGAGTAAAGTGAGGTGTAGTGGAGTAAAGTGAGGTTGAGAAAAGTGAAGTGGACTAAAGTGAAGTGTAGTGGAGCAAAGTTAAGTGGAGTTGAGTAAAGTGAGGTGTAGTTGAGTAAAGTGAGGTATAGTGGAGTAAAGTGAGGTTGAGAAAAGTGGACTAAAGTGAAGTGTAGTGGAGTAAAGTTAAGTGTAGTAGAATAAAGTAAAGTGTAGTGAAGTGTAGTGGAGCAAAGTTTATTGGAGGAAACTGAGGTGTAGTGGAATGAAGTGTAGTGAGATAAAGTGGAGTGAAGTAAAGTGTAGTGAAGTGTGGTCGAGTAAAGTGTAAAGGAGTAAAGTGTAGTGAAGTGGAGTTGAGTAAAGTGAAGAGTAGTAGAGTAAAGATAAGTGGAGTGGAGAAAAGTTAAGTGGAGTAAAGTTAAGTGAAGTGGAGTACAGTGTAGTGAAGTGAAGTAAACGAAGTGGAGTACAGTGTAGTGGAGTACAGTGTAGTGGAGTACAGTGAAGTGGAGTACAGTGTAGTGAAGTGAAGTAAACGAAGTGAAGTGGAGTACAGTGTAGTGAAGTGTAATAATGATCTGCATGTAGTTCACACATGTATGTAGTGCCAGTTTTTCTTGAGCAGAAGCGTCAGAGACGGGTTTTTTTCCAGTATTAGATTACTGCCTTTAAACACAAACAGCTGCCTCTAAAAATCAGGGATAGAAAATGAGGACTGTAGAGGGAACTGGAGTTGTGTAACCCGATGCTTTTTCCCTGTGTAAATATCGACATAACTTTTGAACTTTACTCTGAATTCGGCTTAAGGTATTTTTCCTCATGTTGTCTCTGGGAGTTTTTTCTTGCCACTCTTTTTTCACTGATCTAAATCTGCATGCAGATTTCTGTAAAGCTTCTTTGTGACAATGTGTGTTAAAAGTATTATATAATTTATAAAGCATTAGAATTCAACACTAATGACTAATCTGAAGACACCATAAATTCAAACCTTGAGAGGAACAAAATTAAGG